CCAACCAAATTCCACATAAGCGTGAATACGTTTATGTATTTCCGACTAAATTTTATAGGCGTGAATACGTTTATGTTCCTTTCCTTATAGGCGTGAATACGTTTATGTCCCTTATTTCGTAAAAATTTGTTGTCACGATCCAGGACAAACCGATGAGTTTACCCCAGCAAAAGAACAAGCAAAACTTGTCGTTACATGTTGAGCAGGACAATAAATATTTAGGAGTATACGTTACTTACTTACTTGGTTGGCCATTACAGACGTGTGTCGTCCTTGGCCGCGTCGAGTAGCCTCCGCCAGTCAGCCCGGTTAGTTGCCTTCTGACGCCAGTTGGTAGTACCGAGCGCCCCCAAATCGTTGGTCACCTGGTCCTTCCACCGAAGATGCGGACGTCCTCTACCGCGTTTTCCACCTGCGGGTACCGAATCAAATACCTTTCTAGCCGGAGCACTTTCTTAGTATACTTTATAGTTAGGCCACTATAAAGTATATAGTATTTGATAATATACCGTACCTTAAGATACTTGATCATATTCCAAAAAAATGAATTTTGTAAAAAGCTTAAAATTAACATTTTCAATTAAGAAAATAGGGCAGCAAAAATGAATTTTATAAATGATAGTTTGCAAATCTGGTATACAGAACGATCAAAATTGACTTTCAACTGAAATCTGAAAATACAGACAAATAGATTGACAATCTATATAATATCTGACAGTTAAGTAGGTCTTACCAGCTTAATAAACTGGGACAACATAACCAAGTTACCCCTTGTGGTAAATTTTAGGAACGTAAAGGAAATGAAGGCAACGAAATAGCTAACTATCCCTCCCGCTAAACAAGTAGCCCAAGGTAAAAGAATTGGATGAACTGTAAAGGTTAAATACAAGCTACAAGATTTATCCACCAACATTAAGCACTTTCTAATAGTCTCCTTATTAAAGACACTATTATTATTATTAATAAAAAATGTTAAATTTGTTTAAAAATTTATGTTTTATTTGTAGTTACTTAACATTTGTTACATTTGTTACATTTGTTAAATACATTGTGAATATTTTACAGCTTTAGTTATACCATAAATATTGAGATATTCTAGAAAAATTTATAAGAATTTCTCATTATTTTTACATAAATATTTTAAACAAGTTTTATCAACGTTCATAATTGTTAATAACAATAATATTAATAATATTAAAATTACAAAATTTTAATATTTGTATTTGAATTTGCAAAATGTTTAGTAGGTCAGGGCAGAAAAAAAATGCGTCGGTCGGTTTTCTCCTCAAACAAAACAGCTGAGCTGAATGACACATGGGCGTAAGTGTAAAACTTTGTGTAACACCAGTGGGCGGAACTACTAAACTACACTGTAGTAAACATGTACTGTAGTTCTCGACCATTGGTATAGTTAACTATTGCCATAATACATTGCAACTATTGAATAATTAAAACCGATATTATACTTTATACTTTATACTAAGTTAATAAAACTCAATGCAAATTTCATTAAATTATTATTGATAATTTGATGAAATCTGAAATGAAGTCCGTTTTTATACTTAACCACGTAAGTTAAATTTAATCTTCAATTGTGTAATGAATTAAGTAATAATTTGTGTAATTAATAATGTAATTAAATGTGTGTTATGTAATTTTATTATATTAAATTTAAGTAATTAATTACATATTTATGTAATTAATTCAATAATCGCGTAATTAATTATATAATCATGGAATTAATTATATAATCGTATAATTAAGGATCTAATTAAATGTGAAATAATAAAATGTGAAAGAAATTAAAAATTAAGATACTTTTACAAAAAGTATAAATTTCTTTCATGTAATTGAGAGGGTGGACAATGTATGCTTTCAGCAACTAAATAAGCTAACTTATGCGCATACTGACAAACAGCCGGGACACGACAGGTACCTGTGTAGTTATAGTACATGTGCGTCATTTTGTATGTGAGCATTTGTATACGATCTGGTGTGAGACCCATGGTATCATAAATTACATTATAACTCGTAGGAGAAACCGTACCCTGACGCACACTTTGCGAAACTATGAAGAAATCATAACGTTCCGGCAATGTTATAACATCATCAACGACTGTTCCTGGTGGTGGATTATTATTGCTGAAAAAGTAGCGAGTATTTAAACGTTTGGAAACAACTATGAAAGCTAAACGTGGTCCAATTTCATGTTTTCCAGCCGCTTCATAGATTTCTTGTGCCTTGATTCGTAAATGGTTAAGCTCAGTATTTACTACTTGATGCAGTTGACCATCGCCGACACCATCACGATAAAATAAAATGCGTTCAGGCAAAGATCCGTGTTCATTTCTATATGCTCTCAAAGCGAATGCGAAATGCAGTATAATATCATTTGAAAGCTCTTGAAATTTTTGGTGCTTACTAACAGCCGAAAAATATCTTGATGAACTGCGGACATCCATTGTGGCAACAAGGGCGCTATATGAGGTATTCTTATCCTTAGAAGAATGACAAACATCAAATCCAATTGTCATTAGACCTTTGAGTGGTAGATCAATCATCCATGGTATACCACGTAGTTTGGCGTTCATTTGTATGACAACTTTAGTAGCGATTGACATTAAACCTGCACTTTTTTCTGAAGTAGGTGCTATCATTTTCATAGTAACAACTTGTGAAGCTACAGGACGATCGATGCAACACTTCTTTTTAATGACAGAGTACCTGAAACATATTATAATAATGAAATTATATAGATATATGTATATTACTCGTATATATTTACTTTTCCTCGTTGGGTTGTTGAATAACAATCATTAAAATTTGAGGATCCTCTGAGGTTGCCATTTCCACTGCAGTTGTATAAGAGTTGTTACGATCGTCATCCATTTCAATGCTATATAAGTTAAAAACAAACAAAGCAAATAAATTTAAGGTTAATTATTTCTAATTAATTATTTCTAAGACAATGTCTTGTTAAACTATTAATGCGCACTGAGCAGGTGCATTTAATAAAGTTTAAATTACACTCCGAAGGTGAATATTCTGATTTTCCATAACGTCAAGTATATTTAATGACAGGCGTCGAATTGTTAAAGTTATGAGATATGATCTCGTATTTATCTTAATTTCTTTATTTCATTCCATACTTTATTGAAGTACATTGTTAAACGGTTTTTAAGTTATAAAGTGCCATGAATGGAGACAAGAATGTAAGAATGGCTTGGGTAATAAAGCAAGAGTAAGTTTTTCTCGAACTGTTGTAGAAGCAACAGAACAAATTTTACTGCCGCCCGTTTCAGGCCCACAACATTCGGAAAAATCGCATATTAGGTTATTCAAGCTTGTCGTCATATTTAGAGTCCTCTTAAAAAATCCACAAACAAGTGACAATGTTCATTCCCTTCACAAATACAACTAAACTAAACATTGCAGTTTCCTGCAATATTACTGACAAGGAATCAATTGACTTGATAAACATATATATAAGTAGTTTTAAGGTTCAAATACTTATTGTTAGTCTTTAAGCAAAAACATTCAATAAATAAATTCAATGTATATAAAAATATTAATACCTTTTCGTCTTTAATATTAAATGATATAATTTATAGTTATTTATAAGTACTTACTATTTTGGTGTGGCCACTACTAAACTCATATTTCTTGCTACTTTAATACACATTTGAACAAACAATTGAGTTTCACGACAACAACGTGATGGGAGGATTACTTGCCAACGACTTATTTCGGCATTACAAAACATTGAACAGTTTCGGAACTCGCGGGTCCAGTTAGCTTTCTCATCACATATATACCGAACACCATGACCTAGTAAGATTTTTTCACAGGGTAAAATACGTGCTGGAATTTTAAGTAAATCATTATCCAATTTCATATTCCACTCTTGAAGAACCTCTGAACTTTTAGCAGAAGAATTGAGACGTTCGTTGAAATTTCTCAAGCGTTGAAGTCTCATTTCCGGATTGAGCCGAGTATGATCGCTCATCGATTTCATGAAACTAAAATAAATACCAAAGGAATAACAGTTCATCTGTTGTTATAACAGAAAAAATATTACTTACCGAACATTTGTTCTCATATGATCAGTTATACCAGTTGCACGCGTGAACTCAGGAATCAATGAGATAAATTCTTCTTGACCACCACGTATATGCTTATTGGTTGGTTTCGATATTAACATTGGTTGACTGGAGTCGGTTATGATTAGATTATAACGCTACAAATATTGGAACATTTCAAAGGTGCATTAGTATATGTACTATAAATATGTATATATATCTAAAATCTTTTATATTAGAGTATCTTTCACAATTCGAACATTATAATACATCATTTATTTGTTTAATTAATAATGAGAATAGTGATGAAATATATAATGAATAATAATAGTAATAATAATGATAATTAATAATAAGAACAATAATACTTAATAATAATAATAATAATAATAATAATAATAATAATAATAATAATAATTAATAACAATAATTATTAATAAAAATGATAATAATAATAAATAATAATAATAAATAATAATAAATAAATATAGTAATAAATAATAATAATAAAAACGATAATAAGTGATCATGTTAATTAATAATAATAATAATGATAATCAGTGATAATGAGTATTAATAATAAAAATGATAATCGGTTATAATGATCATTAATAATAAAAATGATGATAATTAATAGTAATAATGACAATCAATGATGATAAAATAATAATGTTGAAATAATTTGGATGCAGAGCTATAACTTTTTTATGTGAACGAATATGCTATCAACGCATTGAACAAATTTTCACAGTTGCTATCTAATATTATTAACTCTTTGTCAGTCACTAAAAAAAATGATATGGTGAATATGGTTTTATAACTAACTCAACATAAAAATGAGTTAATACTCTTTACTAGTAGGCCTATAATTTCTTTCTTTTTCTTAACCAAGATAAAAATAGCTTAAACAAGAATATCTGGGTCTCATACTCAACTCTAAACTTAACTTAGCTGGAAGGAAAATTTGTTTGAAAGAGTCCATAAAGCAAGGATTGGGTCTTCAATTTCAACCTCTGGTGCTGTTTTTTGGTGGCGTGGTAATTGAAAAAACATCCCGAAAAGCACCTCGGTCCTTTTGGACGTAGGACGTATGTGATAGAAAAGTTTGTCGTGCTCAAATGAGAGTTTTAAAAATTGTAAATATGGTAAGTTTTGTTCCTTTGGATACCTACATAAAATAGTTATGTCTTCTAATAATGTACACTATCAAACTACATTATGATTTATAATATTATATTATATTATTCAATGTAATACAATTGAATATATATAAATTATATATATAAATTAAACACATGAATTACATATGTAAATTATATATATAAATTATATATATAAATTTTAACTCCTATGAGAAGCATAGGATCGTTATACAATTGTAAAGGGTGCAAAGAACTATTTTAGCCTTATTTAAATCAGAATATGAACTCTTACTACATTTTTTAATTTATAGCTATCAGCTTCCTACTGTTATAATAATCGCAATAGTTGTTAATAATAGTCGTACTATAATACTTGTACTACTTAACTACTGATAAATTGCTAAAACGGATTATAATAAATTATTAAAAGAATGGGAACTATTTGTTCCCAATTTGTTTTATTATTGTACATAATAATAATTGGTTTTATTTATAGTAATAATTGTATATATGTGAAACCTAAACTTACCGATTTAAAATATTCAGCAAATGAAACTTTTGTATCTTTCAATGAAAATGTCGATAGAGGAGAACTCGTAAAATCAACGTCAGTTATACGATAAGTTTTATTGTTATAGTCCGTCAACACAATAGAACCTAAAATAAAATAAGATCCATGTATTCATATGTATAACATAGATTATGTCTGTTGCTTACCTATAACTTCAGTCTTAAAAGCTTTTTGATAGTCTTTAGTTTCGACCGTTAGTTGACGAAGTATGGTGTAAAGAGTATCGGTGCGCATAACTTTATGTGTAATCTCAGTGCAGAGAAGAATATCCCGCTCATGTTGACGAATGGATGTAATATAACCTGGCCAGATTTCTATATGATACGGGTCAATGCTAATCTGTAAGTATACATATTAGGTGTGAAATAAATATATATTTATATATGATATATGTTTATTTTAAAATGAATATATCTAATATAAATTTGAGAACATTACAAAGTAAGAGTAGTAGTATATAGGTCTGAATAATCAATGAATTTGATTCATAATTTGGGCAAAGGATTTTGATAAATGTTAAATATTCTGCTTCAATTTGATTTTTAAAAAATTGTACTTTAAAGTAAACTTCTTGGATTAATCACAAAGATTTAATTTTCTTCGTGTCAATAATTTTTATAATTTATGTAATCATTTAGCCAATTAATCAACGCAACTGACTCAGCACAGAGATTAAAACGTATAATATCTCCCTTTGATCTCATTAAGTAATAAAACCTTAGCTTAAACATTTATAATTTATCAAACTAAAAATTCTTGTTAGTCCTAAGAATATTTAGTAGTTGCATTATTAAATAAAAAAAAAATTGTATTCACATTTACCTTAGCATAAGGATCAAAAAAGTGACGAGCTATTTGTTGTAAATCCAGTCCACCCATTGATTGACGTAAGATTAAATTCAATACTTGGAACAGTTGAGCCTCATTTGCATCGACAATACCAACATGTTTAATTTTAATAAGCACTGTCTTTCCATCACGATACTCAGACGTTAGATGGAATTCATGATAATGACCCTTTTTAGTGCCTCTTAAATCATTAGTAGTAAAAAGCATTGTCCCATCAAATATATATCCACCAAGTTTTGCTTTATGTTGGAGAATTAATGTACGACGAACAAAGCTCATATCTATTTCCGGTACAAAATCTACTCTATATTGATAAATGTTCCATTCGGGTTTCTTTAAGATCTTGAAATAGTTCGTATCAACAGTAACATGGCGTCCAGTTTCACCCATTTTGGAAACACAAGTTTGTGGCCGTGTAAACAAGGAATCCAACAACGGTGTATGCGGGCCACCACGATTACGTCCACCTAATTAGAAACAAAAAACAAACAAAATTATGTATTAAACAAAAAAATTATGTTATATATAGTATTTTGTATTTTATTTATATTCTTATAAAATATTATAAATACCACGTCCTCCATGCCCTTTGCCTAGAATTATTTTGAAAGAAAAAATTTAAGAAATAATTGGTAAAGTGTTTAACTTAAAAACATATTTATTTCAAAATTACCTCTCGGCTTAGCAGCAACAACACCAACTATAGTAAATAATAAAAAAAATATTTTATTAATTTTCTAAAAACTAAATACAAAAAAGTTAAAAAAAAACATTACGATTAGCTATGGAATTTTCAATTTGAGTACAACTAGATGATGAAGTTGAAGTTGACGAAAATGACGACAAATTTGAAGGCGAGTGCGGAATAGATGGAGATATTAAAATACGACGAATCAAATTTGGTACTTATATAGAAAAATAAAAATTAGAATATATTTAATACTTATTTTTACTTGGTTGAAATAAATGTACTAAAAATAAATAACATATATCGTGTCTTAATACCAGAATCATTAGAATCAGGCTTTGCAGCCTGGGGTGATGCTAATATTGCCCTTGGACGAACAGAAATTGAACCGCCGCGTGGCTTAAAGGTATCAGCAATTACCGATGGTCTATTAACAACGTTAACAGAAGGTGGAATCCTTGGTCGAAAAGACATCTATAATAAAATTTGATAATTATTGTGGTTTATATTTATTAGGTTTTATTTATTAAATATATTTTTATAATAAAATATTTTTATTATATATATTTTTTGATTTCATTTTTTGGAAACTGTTCAAAAGTAATAATGAAATACTAACCCTGGGACCCGTAAATGTCATGACAGGACGAATACCAACTTTTCCCATAAGTTGAGGTGAAGGAACACGAACACGTGGTCTTACGCTTGGTTGAAGAGACATTATACAGTATATACCTATATTAAAAAGAAGAAAATACTTATTTTTTAAATAAATGATATTTACAAATTTACGTTTTACTTCTTTTAAAACTATCATCAACAAAATAATTGAATGAGAGAAAATGTGATGTGATGAGGATGGATTAGATTTAGGATATTTAGAAAGGATTCAATCTACAATAATATTTTAATATAATGAATATATGTATATGTTTTATACTAAAATGTTTTAATTTTATACTTAATTTTTTGGTTAATTGTTTAATATTATAGTAAATTTTTCAATTATAATATATAAAATAAAAAAATAAATTTTAATTATTTCATATGTTTGCTATTATATTGAAAAATCAACACAAAAATAATATACGAGTATAATTGTACATATAAGGATGGCAAAAATTTAAATTTGAATTAAAAATGGATTATTCAAAACTCTCCAATTTTGGTACGGTAACACAATGGGTCAATAGGAATAGGTGGATTTCTATAAGCACCGTCGTCGTCATAACCTTAACTTCAGCACATTATAATTTTTTCCAATCTTAATTATCTTAAATTTGATATTCCAATACTATTATTAATAGTTATAACAAACTTGATTAAAATATTTGCTAATTTTATGCTAATAAACAATTAACCAATAAAAAGATATTTATTAAAATATATTTTTCAGTCACAATTAATGCAAAATGCAATATGAATTTTTATTAACAAAATATAAAGACTTATTAATAAAATCCTCAGGGTATACTGGGTGAAGTAGAAAAAATTCAAAATTCAAAATCGAATTGTCAAATCCAAGTTAAGATCAGTGGCACTAATTAGAAATAACTTGAAAGCCTAGGATTTTGAATTTACTAATATTTATGTTTAACTGTAAAAAATATACTATTGGTTTTTATGGAAACAAATTTTGTAAATCTATTGAGATTTATATCTGCAATAAAATCTAAGAAAAAGTTGGATAGCACAATTTTATACGATAATAATAAAGTCAGAACCAAAAACAAAACAATTATGAACAGAATTTTAGATACTTTTTATTTTTTCTAGAAAAAGTGGGTAAGTTTGTAAAAATTATCACAAGAATTGTATCAATATACAAATAATTTAATGTAATTTATAAATAAAAATTATATATATAAGTAATGAATATACAAGAAATTTATGTATAAATATTATATAAAGAGAAATATAAAAATACACTTTAAAAGAAAATAATTGTAATTTATGGTACATAAATTTATATAAGAATATGTATATATACATTGCGTATATTGTATATTAAAAATAGTATTTTAAATAAACGTTGAACTATAATATAATCAAGCCACAATTTATTATTAGAGAATTTGTGAAAAAAGAAATACAGCGCGTATAGCTATTAAGAATAAAAATATAATCAAAATGCAAAAAAAAAAACATTATTTTAAATGTTATATAATATGTTGGTAAGTTTTTGTGTTGTAATAATTTTTAAAAAAAGAAATTGCTGGTTTAATAAAATTGCACAATTTTTAGCCTAGTACTAAGTACTAACATCCAATTGAAATGCTTATTAACCGATAACTTGACAACGGTGTACAGTGTTCATTAAAATAATAATTAAAATTTAATAAAAATAAATTTGTATTTTCTTTAATTCTCTAAATCGAACGAATTACTTTATAAATATGTGACAACATAAAAACTGACCAGGAAGCTAGTCTTTAAATATAACAAATCTTTTATTTCCGATTAAAATAATATATAATATAAAAAATGAATGTTATAAATAATGATTGCAAAAACTATCTTATTATCAATTTAATTTAATATATATCAAATATTTCCATTTAAACTTAAGGTTTTATTTACTTTATACAGCTTATTGCTATCATTATTAGCTATAGTTGCAAACTGTTACATATTTTAAATATATAAATACATACAAAAACTGATAATTGTACACTACTTTTCCGATTATTAAATATTTTTTTTATTAAAACAGAAACAGAAACAGAAACTGCGCTATGCCATTAATATTTTAATTAAAAAATACCTTAAAACTAGACGCTAATTTCGATATTTATTGAACATAAAAATAAAATACTGGCTTCTGATATAACATTCCTAACAATGGTCAGCAGAAAGATCGTGTTATATAAGCACAAACTGACTTCATAGAAATAATCTACCAAACATATAACAGATTTTTACTGATAATTCTTGCAAATCACGATATGCAGAGATGAATGGAGGCGTATTGTAGAGGAGGCAATGGTCCATCATGGACTGTGATGCCAAAATGATGATGAGGCGACCAAATTAACGGCAATTTAATATTTGTTCTTACTTTCAAATGTTAAAGGCATGTTACACAGGCGATAAATTCATCGATTATCACAGCATTTGTTGTTGCTTTCAATGTAAATTCAAAAATTGCAATACTATATAAAGGCTCACTTAGTCGGCACGTACCGTAAGAACTTAAGCCATAGAGAAATACACAATCAACCACACCTTTGTACTTGGTAGGAACGGAATAAACAAAAGCGGCGAATTTTGTTAATTTCGTTCCTATCAAATAGACAGGTTTGGATGGTTGTGAATTTAAGTTCTTACGGTATCTACCGACTAACTCAGCCTTAAAGCAGTAATTAGTCTGTAAATTTCAATACACTGATTACAAAAGTGGTAATGTTATGCTAGATGGACATCTGTATAGCGTATATATCCCTACCAATTTGGAAAATAACTTTTTACAGTAATTAGTTTATAGCACTGCCGGAATAATTTTGATGCTAGCAATTAATATGATATCTAGTTAAAAAAATAAAATTGACATATTAATACATTAATAATAATTCACGGTTAGTAGAAAAACTAAGTTGCGCACATAAGAATTTGCGAAAATCAAAAAGCACATAACACACTAAACAACGAAAGGACAGATAATCGTAAAACAAAATGGCGGAAAGAAACAAAACGAAATGAATCGGGAACTTACGATGAAAGCGAACTCTACATACTACACTAGTTGCGAAAATACTTTAAAATTGTAAAATATTGTGAAATTATATTCGTATACATCAAACAAACACTTCAATAATGTTACTGAAGACTGATTCTTTCCTTATGGTAAAAAGTTTATTTCTACCATTAAATTAACGACTAATAAATTTTAAGTACTACAGTAATTTAACATGTTTCATAGTACAAAAGCAAATAATGACACTGCATTTGTCCAGAAACTAATTGTAATAATCAACTAATATAATATATAATCTAGTTTATATACAGCACTAATATTTTAAATATATAATAATACCGTTTACTTGTAGATTAAGTTTATGCAAATGTTTTTTTTTTGAAAATTTCTTATATTTTTGTTAACAATTAGAATCGAATTAGACTTTTGAAAAAATACCTCAGCCAACTTCACCGAACACTTCACGTACTGAACTTGCTCTGAAAGTATTCCGAAAAAGAAAAAATAATTAGCAAAGTTAGGTGCTATACGTACGAACAGAGCCGAAAACTAACGAAGTAGTTACAATGCCGCATTTTTTTGTCTTCATAAAATTCAAAATGTCACTTTTACAATATTTAATATTAATTAACTATCTACTAAATCATATATATAATTTCAATAAAATACTAATTTAATGAAATCCAATGCAAAATTGAGCAGCTCACAAAATAATTAGCAATAAATACTTCAAACTATTATTTTTTTGAAATTTGAAAAAATTGTTATTGTGAAATTGTTTACAACAATACTTGAAACAAAAATTTAATAATATTTTTAAACAATAATATTAGCACTATTGTCCACAAATATAATCACACATATTTATACATTTGAAGAGTGAATTTAGTGGTACTTTAATTTAATTCTAAGAATCCACACTTTAAATCTATTAGAAGCATTTATTGATAGAAATGCAAATTAAACAATTTTGATCATTAAACTTTAGTAAAACTTCACAGATTGCAAAATTTCCGAAAAAAAAGCTAAATCATAACTATTATTAATTGCTCTCACTTGCAGCAATTAAAAATTTCCACGGTAATATTTTCGCCCACTTGCACTTCCGAAGTTCAACCGCGAATTAACTAATAAGAAGGCGCGTTATTTTCTTACAAGAAATCTTACAAGCGAATCAAATGCATAAAAACCGCATGAAACGGAAATGAAAGTTCAATATAAAATCTAGATATGACTCTTTCAATATTTGAAAAAAATAACTAATTAACAAATATAATTAATATAGCATTAAATTATAACAAAATATAACAATTAATATTTGTTACAATAACACAACAAATACATATATATATATTATTTTATATATAATTTTTATAAAAATAATAAAATTAATAAAAATATTCAGCTTACCTTTAGTAATTTAGAAAGAAATTAAACTCAAACGTGTGTTGTAACTTGACAAACGCAAAAGATTGAATGAGAACCTATATTCAATTGCAATAAAGGAATATACTTGATATTTCAAAAAATGGCATTACCAAACTTGACCTAAAATCTATACACAAAATATCACAATTGACGTATAACAGATTTTATCAATTATACTGTGTGGAAGGTCCATATTTTGCCGCAAAGCAAATGTATTATATATTTTATAAATAATATTATCACAACACACATATATTATTTTTTAATAATAAAAATTATTTTATTATATTCTTCTAAATAAACATTTCCTTTTGTTTAATTTAATTTATTGGTACTAGTCATAGGATAAAAATATTATTTTGGGCAAAGTTTTAAGTTACACGGTGGCATCAAACAGATTTTGGCTTTTAATAAGACTATAGTAATTAGTCAAGGTTGCTACACAAAATTTATTTAAAGATATGCGAAATTTACAATAAATATATTTTTTAAGCCGTTAAGGCTGAATTTGTTGTGCCGCAAGCAATCAGCTGATTCGTTCCACCTAATACTATATAGAGTATAACTACAAATTGCAAAAGAAAGATATTATCACCAAAATAAAAGAAAATAATAAATAATAAAAGAAAACAGAAAATAATAAAACAATCAATATTTTACAAATATCCCGTATAAAATTAACAAAATTACGAAAAATGCGGTTACAACTCTTTAATAAAATGACAATACTTCTGACTTCCATTTCTTGACGAATTATTTCATAAATTGTGT